CTGAGAAGAAAATACAAACTATGTGTAGGTGTGATAATAATAAGATGAAGAAATATAAAGCAAAATGAAAGATGAATGTTTCTGTGAAATAAGCAGCTTCTTAATGCTCTCTACTCCACTTGTCATTAGAATTATTAGGAAATTCCTTAAAAAAGAAGAGGAAAGTTGGTGAGAAAGAAAAAGTGAATTAATTACATGGCCCTACTTGAATGGAACAAATGAATCAACTATAAAGAAAGAATATGTACTGTAACAGGTTGAAAAAGTCTTCATCCATCAAAATATGTCTTTGATGTGTTTGGAAAGGAGGAAAATATGTTCCAAAAAAATGTTCGATTTTTTTATGTTTAATTGATCAAAAATGTTTTTAAAAACTATTGTTATTTCTAAAAATAAGTTACTTATTTATAAGGAAACTGATTTTTCTTGTAGAAACAGGGAAAATGGGTTTCATAAGTGTTATTCTACACCTATTATAAAAAGAAAATAATTTTATCCATCTCTCTAAATGTATGCACAATGAATTATTGAATCCATGTTGAGCCACACCCACCCCAACTTTAATAAATGGACGTGGGAAAGTTAGTGAGAAAGAAAAAGTGAAAGAAATAGTCTTTTCCTTAATTAAACTAATTTATGGATGGAAAAAGTGAGTTTCAAATTCTAAAATATGTTAATAATGGTTTTCTTCGTCACCGAAAGCAGACGACTTGACTTTCAAAAACACTATACAGAGAAGAAGATTTAAACACTAATGAAATTTAGTAGAAACTCACATTTAGAGGTATAATTTTCTATAGTTTTCCTATTTTTAATTTATTTCTAGAATATGGTGTAGCTTTTTTAGTATACTTTTTGTTATTTTCCATATTTCTTTTTAGTGTCAAGTTTAGTCTTTTGTGTTGCATGTTTTACTCGAAAAAATAAAAAATGACTTGTTTTCGAAAAATCAACTACACTTATGAATTGAAGAGAAATCAACTTTTCGACTAGAGTCACCACTTAAATTTTTAAAGAAACTAAGAAAACTTAAAATTTCAAAGATTGAAACAGAATAAAATCATTTGAAATTTTAAAAAGGGGGGTTTCGCTGTTCAATTTACATTCCAAGAAGGTGTTAGGCCCTCGGAATGCCCACTAACTTGCAGTTGACCGACGATTTGACTAAAATGACGTTTCAACTAACTTTAAATTTTTAACTAAGTTTAAGAAAGAAAGAAGATTTTAAGTTGTTACTTTTTAAGGAAGGAACTCAACGTAATTCATATTGAGACGAAATAATTAATATGTAACTAAATATATAAATAAAATAATAGGTGTTTCAAAAAATAAGAAAGACTATTTTGGGAAACTTAATTAAATTAAACCATAAGAAACAAATAAAGTTAGTTAATCAATAACCTAATAGAGGGAAAAGAAATAATTAGATTTGGGTTTTTGGTCCAAATCCAATTAAAATGGCCTTTTGGCCCACCTGTCCTAGAGTCTAAAGAAAACCAAAATTATGGGTTTTGGCCCATTTTAATCCAAAAGTTGTTGGCTGCTTTACTTTGGGCTTTTGGGCCCAATTTTCCCACTTTTCGTATACACTAGATGTATACAATCCTGTACATCGGCTCCACTCTTGTACGTCGAATCTATGGAATTTGTTCTTCACTTTCGAGGACTGGCTGACTCAATAAAAGAATTTTGGGGGCTTCGTGGCCCCCTTGGGAATGCAAAGAGAGAGTCCGCGAAGACTTGGGAAGATTTCACATGCAAACAAAGTGAAGGGAGACGGTTAATATATAATTTAACTAATATGAAACAAAAGAAGATACACTAATTATATAAGGAGAAAGCAATGAGACATATATACTAGGATAATGTCCAAATTAACAGAAATCAGATCTAGACATGCTGAAAATCAAACTAGAGACCTAAAAAAAAAACACCAACCAAATTATGCAAATGTTAACAAGAATAAATAAAGTGAATATGCATCTAGGCTGCCATTACAGTCAAAGCGATCAACACAACAGCTTGTATACTACAACCATACCATGAACATTACGCAGTAGCATCAAAATGAACAAGGATAGGTATGATCAGGCTACAATAATTCTAAGAGAAACACAAAAGAAAACCAATATGCACCCAATATGCACATTCATCAAGATTTGACAAAGAAAGGCTAATACTAAGACTCATATTAGGTAATTAAGCAAGTAAATATGACATCCACAATTATGCAGTAATCTAACTAAGAAAATAGAGAAAAAGCAGTTGTCAGCAGGCTTCCTTAAGAGGGAATAAAATTGCTTCAAATACACACAGAGGCCAGTATCATTTGGATTTCCGAACATATGAAACTACCTAGTATCATTTTCAACACACATTTGGAGTTAAATAAGACAAGACAATGATAAGGAAACTAACACAATCCTCATGAAAATAAACTAAACAGGACAATGGTAAAGAAGACATGCCATGAAGCTCATACTTAAAACTGCCAATGGTAGGTATTTTTCGACTATAACTTAAACAAATTTGAGACATAAACTTGAGAAAAATAGGGTATGCTAGGCAGTAACACGCTATACTTTCGAAAACTCCGAGGAGATGAAGAATAGAAAAAGAGACACATCAAAGCAACACAAAGAGTTAAGAGCAAACCGATTAATCTAATTCGAAAACGTTAAAGATGCTCAAAGATAAGAAATAAACTTAAACAAGTTAAAACCTCCCCCAAGTTTCATAAAGAACACTCAAAACTGCTAACTATTAAACTTGTAGCACAGAGAGAATAGACAACAAGATCGAACAAACAACCAAAGGCATTATTCTAACCATATTAACGAATACCAACTGAACGAGAAACAAGGAGCAACAAGGAAACTAACTGGGATACTAAAATCAAAGGGGAAAGCCAAAACTCTTAATCAAGGCATTCTAGGCATAAATCACACACAAAGACACATTCCACGCTTCAGTTAACTAAAACACCAACTCGTAACACAAAATTCTTTTATCAGACATTAGCAGTAAACCCAAAGAGAACTGAAGCATTCAAATGAACAGTAGGAGGGTCAACAAAGATCTTCAGCTCACAAACAAACACCAACCAAAATGAGTCAAGATCAAAGTGAAGTTTACCTTTTCGGGGGCAGCAAACGGGACTCGACGAGTTGCCGGAGACTTCCACCACCACCAACGGATTCCAATGGACCAGGAGGATGACAAACGAGATAAAAGAGTGGAAACCGGACTCGAAACTAGTTGTCTTCTCTGTATTTTGTAGGTATTCTTATAGTTATTTCTTACTATATTGCTCTCTGTATATCAGGGAGAACAATGCCAACCTTTCCAATTTTTCTTTCAATTTTCCTCCTTATTTCTTTCTATTCGTCTACCAGCCAAAGACCAACCTAAATAACGAAGAAGAAGGGAGTTATTTGTAGATGAAAATTTGGGCTGACAAGGGAGGGAAATCGGGTTGAAATTGAATGAATTTCAATTCGAAATTCAAAAACTCCTCTGGAGATGAGGCTCAAACTACTGGCAATCGTACCAATTTCTAACGGACTCAAGAGGAGAACCATCCGATTCAAGGAGCAAGGACGAACTTGCAAGGAGATTGATCCACCTGGATGATTCTCGTACGAATGGATAAAAACAGAGGAGAGGGACGTGCGGGCTGCTGCTCGCGTCTGAACTGGGTCGCGATTTTGGGCTAGGAAATTGGTTCGCGTTTCTGGACTGGTTTTGGGCGTCTGGCTCGCTGTTCGTTTCTGGGTTTCTTCGCGTGAAAAAGAAGAAGAACGAGGTGGGGTCGTTTTGGTGTATTGCTGTATGTTGGGTATGTTTGGATCGCTGATTGTATTGTATTGTGGGCTGGGTCTTTGCTGTTAACATTGAGAAAATTGGGTTGGCTGATTGTTGGAGTTTGTTTGTACGTATTACTCACTCCGTCCTATTTTATGTGATAATATTTAACCGGATACAAAGTTTAAGAAATAAATGAAGAGTTTGAAATGTTTACAAAATTGCCCTTTAAAAAGTAGACTCACTTTTCTCTCTCCTCATAAATGTATTGGAGTATTATTTTAAGATTAAGTGAGACCAACAAAAATAAAAAAAAGAATTGTACCTTTAAATACTTACCACATAAAATGGGACGGAGGGAGTATTTGGAATTGTATTGGAATGGGTTTGCTGATGGGCTGTATTGTTGCTGTTGGGTCTTTGAGAAATTGAGAATGGAATGGGCCTTTGAGAATTGTAAGGAAGAGACCCAAAATTGGTTTAAAGCTTAGCTGAAATAAAGGGGTTTAGGAAGTGCTAAATGGCTAAATTTGGAATTGAGGAAAGAGCCAAAAGATTTCGATCATAGCCATACAAAATTAAAGATCTAACCAAATTGAATTGATATGGATAAAATTGGCTAATAATTAAATAAAATGAATTAATATTAATCAATTAACAAGCTTCTTAATCTCAACGAAGTAAAATAGCTAACTTAATTATAAACTAATTATTTCAAAAATATAAACTATTATATAACTAAACTAATTAACCAAATATTTAAGTAAAACTAAATTTTTTTTTAGATATTTTTGAATAATCATAAAATATAATAATTATATACATAATTATGTAAAACATATGTATTATCTAAAAATTATAAAAAGTGACAAAACTAGTTAAAATAACTTGCAAACTATATTATTATTATTATTTAAATTTTTTTACAAAACTAATTATTTTAATTCGTTTGAAATTGAAGAAACTCAAAATGATTAATTTATATTGTGGAGGTTCAAAATTGGGTGTCAACATTGCATATCTTTTTTGATGGGACTTTCTTGACAAATATAGTTAAATATTTTCCCCATTGTTTCCGTTTATATCTAACAAATAGTGTTCGAAAAATATTTTATGGATTAACATTTGACAAACTTAAAGGACCAAAAATTATATACTGAAGGAACTACTTAATACCTACCATCAAACATTAGGGATCATTTGTTCATTTTCCCTTTTCACAACTTCCTAAAGCACAACATCTGATGGATAACAAGGGGTTGTCAAGATACTTTTAACTGGCTTAAGTCAATCGGTTCCAACAAGCTGGCATTTAAACTACATTGACTGGAAACCCTATGATGGGTACCAGACATTGGATGGAAATAAAAGATGTAGTTGCTCTCAACTACTTAATCCGCGTGCTAGATTTGATCATCCGCAGTGTATTCATACAAACTACTTCTACCGTGTAGATTTGCAGTAGATAACTAACACTTCTTCAGTAGAACTTGGTAGTGGCAGAGAAAGTATTTGAGAGTCTACATCCCAATGGAAGAACAGTAGCTTACCACTAGAGCTACATTCGAATATTCCTGGAAAGAGTTCCCCTTTGGACTGTTTGTGCTTTCTGATGTGAGGCGACTTACTGATGGTTCCATGACTTCTTTCCTTCACCTGTTTTGGCACAACTTTCTTGCTTCGCGCACATTCATCTGCAAATGGTTTTTGAAAGGTATTCGTCAGCAAAGGCGAAGCTGTGAATTCATTTCACTGTGAAACTAGGTATTCTGATCCAAAAGAGCTGTCACTCACAGATTCCAAAGTTCTTTCGAGAATCTCTCTCACCACAAGAATCTAGTTATGTACAAACAGAGGAAATATGTGCCGTTCGTATGCACTTTTGCACTCAAATACCATGTTCCCATTGTGAACAGCAAAAATAATCCAAATCCAAAAAAACTAGAACTTGTTAAAAAAACTTAGAGTAATCGAGATATAGATGTTAGTATTACTTTATCAAGTTCAATTTCGACAAGAAACAACAGACAGTACGATAAAAAAGATATCATACAGCAAACTCAAACTCTGAAACTTGGTACTAAAAAAGGCGAATAATGACTTGCAGAGAAAATGAATACAGATGGAGCACCAAGATATGATGCAACTCGCAAGATGTGAGGCAATTCACCGTGTATGTACTCAATTGTCTCACGGATGCATTAAAATGACATATTAATAAATTTTAAACCCCTAGATCAGTGAATACCTTACAGAATAACAACCCTTTGCCTTTACTCTATGAACTAAGTGAAATCCGTATATCTCTGATACATCTTTTCACATGAAAATCATACAACAAAGTCAAAATCTGAACTTAGTACTCAAGAAGACAGCATATTGGCTTGCACTAAATGAATTATGACGGAGCACCAAGATATGATGCAATTGCAAGATGACACAGTATACTTTTTTCTCAAAAAAATGACACAGTATACTCCACAAGCTGTCACTTTAATGTTAAAAAATACATTTATTTCTGTTCTTTCCAACTTGTTTATCTCATAAAATGTTGTTTTGCAAGGAAAATGATGAACATCAGTTTCTGATGGATAGCATACGAGAGTAGGTTCTTTTGGATGAGATGGCTATTCAAGTTTAGTTATATAAATTATCTCTGGAGTGCTCACTTTGTCAACATCTTCAGTCTCTTGCTCCTGCTTAGTTAACTACGGCAACTGCCGCATAAACTCCTCAGCAGCTACACAGGCCTGAAAAACCCATCAAAAGTAACAAATGCAGCACATAAGCAAAGACAAAGAACTCAGAGAATGTTTCCCTTACTCGAGGAGTTAATATTGATATAGAAGCATCTACAAATTAAGTTGAGAACTATGCCATTTTTTGCCGACTATAGGGGATTCATGATCAAATATTACACAGCAAAGACAAAGAATTTTAGAAATATGTCCTTATAAAAGACTCCGGTTTAACCAATTTGAACAAAGGAAATAGCAATTGAAGTATTCATCTGCTCAAAGACCATGATAATTCAAAACAAATATGATAATTAATTATCTAGGAGAAAGCCTAGCTAGTCCTTCATTCACATTGAGAAGGGTGAGTAAACTAGTATATATACCTACCTATATTTAAGCTAATATCCTGGGCTTGTGGGAAAGAGCTGCAAAGTTTCTGAATAGACGGGCTTCATCTTGGTGTTGGTTCATCATTGTTTCTGAGAAGATGAGCAACTGACCTCAATCTTAGGTTCATCTTTATCCAAGCTCATTCCTTTCTCCAGGGGTATATAACCTAATGTGCCCATAGTCATTCAGTGTTCTTCCATTTGCCTTGGATGTATCCCATAAGCCAGCAAGAGGTATCAAGAAAAAATGCATAGCAGATTCTGCAGGACATTCTGGATGGTTGGATAAGGCCCCTATAAAAAGGTAATGAGTCAACAAATCATAACTTCACATGTCATGTACAATCCCCAAATGCTATTTTTGACATGTTTTATATATTATTTATTATTACACTTAGAAGTTCTTGAAGAGTTAGCATCATTAAACAAAATTTAAGGTACAAATATTAGTTAAGTATTTCTTAAGAAATATGAAGCTAGAGGAACAGAATGTATATATATATATATATATATATATATATATATCTTTGAAATATGAATACTATTGCATTGTTTAGCTAACTTACCATATTGTCCATCATAACATCTTCGAAATCTTCAACATTCCATACTCTGGTAGGTTTTCCAGAATTTGTTTGCATTTTCACTATGTATTTGCCCATATCTTCAATCAAGTCATGCATTTCAATTCTGTCATATTTAGAGATGAACACAAGGGATTTTTCAATTAGAACATCTAATCCGTATTCAGCTCCAAAATCACGGCTATCAACAATTTTCATGACTTGTTTTCTTTCATACGCACGGAAGAAACATGCGATATCTAGAAATATCTTTTGCTCTTTGGGGCTCCAACCCATCATAACTTATTTTGAGTTTTTCAACAATTTCTGAATTAGACTTTTTCTTTATTTGGTCTACAGTTTTTGTCCATTGAGTTAGGCCTTTCTTGTGCAGCAAAGAACCCCACACCTTGAGGGCTAAAGGAAGGCCTTTAGCCTGATTTACTACCTCCAACGATAACTTCTTAAAACACTCATTTGGAACTTCTTTTCTAAAAGCATGCTTATTGAACAATTGCATAGCATGATGGTCAGGTAGTGTAGGCACTTTGTATATTGCAGCATCCTTCTCTATCAATTGTCTGTTTCTAGTTGTTACAATGCTACTGCAAAGCTCTCACTTTGGTTTGAACATGTGATGGATCCACATCATAGAAGATCGGTATGACTGTTTGTCTACTTTCTTCCTCCTTGCATTCCATGATCTTCACTAGTTCATTCAAGCACCACCTCGACGTAGCATAGTTCCTTCAGAAAACGATGAGTGCAACTTGAGACTCTTCGATAGCTTTCAAGAGTTCTTGTGAGATGGAATCGCCTTGCTCTAGCCGTTTATCATCTTGAAAGGTGAATATTCCCCTGTTTCTCAGGCCTTCGTACAAGTGACTCGTAAATGTTTTACGGGTATCCTTACCTCTAAAACTTAGAAAGACATCATACTTCCATAGAGGATAATTTTGTGAATCACTCGCAAAAGAAGAAGAAGAAGATGCCATGGATTCAATTGTACGTTTTGAAAAAAAACACAAAAAATTATGTGTATAGAAAGAAAACGAAAGACGATCTTCTTAAACTAATCGTAATTATGTTAATGGCTTAAAGATGATCTCTTTAAACTAATTATAATTATTATATTAGGATTTTCTTCCAACTTAAATAGAAGTAACTAGGAAATTCCTTCAAAAAAGAAAAGGTGAATCAGATGACCCTCTCCTTAAACTAATTTACGGATGAAAAAAAAGTATATTTTGAAATTGTAAATTATGTTAATGGTTTTCTTTGTCATCAAAAGCAAACAACTTTACTTTAAAAAACATCTATGGGTCATCTTGTTCCAAAAACAAAATAATAGGAAATATAATTGAAGAACGAAGATGGCTCGGAGGCGTATAATTATTTTCTTTAAAGAGATATTGGTTGTATTGGGGAAAAATATCCAACAATCATATATTATATTTATATATAAAAGGAGAAGAAGAAACGCTTACGTGTCAACACCACAAAATTTGTGGAAATATTAAATAATAAATAACAATTTAAAAAACAAAAAATTAAAAACCGTTCTTTTAAATTTGCTTACCTTAAAAACTGCTGTATTGATTTCTTTTTTTAAAAAAAATAAATTAAATATGTTTGTTCCTAATAAAATGCTATATGTCTAATTTTTTAAAAATAAATTTTATAAATGTAGAAGTTAGAGTTTATGAATTATCAAAATTAATTAATTTAAAATTTTAAAATAAAGAAATAAATATCTATCTATATATATAAGTTGAGGTGATAGCGTCTACGTGTCAGCACAAAAAAACAATAATTTACATATCTATTATTGAAATTAATATATTATTTATATAAATTAAACATAATTGAGCACACCAGTCAATAATGTGAAAGACACGTTTTGTCAACCAGATAAAATATTTCAAATCGAAAAAACTACTTATGTCAGTTTTATTGCAACTGCATCAGCAAATTTCCATTTTAAAATACAACAAATGGTTACCACAATTATAAAGCCTACATTATACGTGAATGTCATGAACAATATATATTCCAATTAGCAACAAAAATAAATAATGCGCTCAGTTTTTTTTGGTGGTTATGAGGCGGTGAAGAAGGAGAGGCTGCTTTAATGGACTAAAATACTTTGGGTGTTATAGTCAATTTTCAGCAAAGAATGTGCAACTGCGTTTTTTATTTTCACCGTTAACTATTTTTAATATGGAAGAAAAAAATTTCAATACGATCTCATCTATTTTAAATCACCGTTAACCATTTAAATTGAATATTAGGACAATGTTAAAAATAAATTGAAAAGAAAAACAAATAAATATTGAATATGAAAATATAGGAAAGTGTTAAATTTGATTTGCGGATAACTTTTTGTTTGAATGTGTATTAAATAAAAAATAAATAAATAAAACAAAGAAGAGGTTTATAAACTACCTACTATTCTCATTCCCATTTCTTCCCACGATCACATTCCCCCCACACCACCATATTTTCTCATCTATAAAATTTTATGGAGCAATGGACCTATTCTATTCAAAATTATTGTTTTTCTTCATATCTTATATGAAATGCTAATATTCAAAATTTCCAAATCGTAGAAAATAAATTAATTGTGAAACTCCATAAATTTTATTCTCTTACATCCAAATGGGTAGCAAAAAATATAGGTTAGTATTTTTTTTAAAATTCAGATAAGTTTTTCTATCTATTCGGTGAATATTTTTTTTCTTTTTTTTTATTTATAAAAGTTGATAAAATAATCCAAAGTGATCAAATTTCACTTGATATTAGAAATTGGTATTTCTCATTGATTTTATTTCCACATTTGTATGTGTGGAAACTATGGAGTTTTATTGATATTCTCTTTTATTGATTTATTTATATAGGATGTGAGATAATATGATAATTTTTGTGTTGTTAATATTTCTTGATGTTATGCTATAATTTAACTTATATTACTTTATGAAAGACTCAGATAATATTATTTAATTATTAGATAAATTTTGATAATATTATTTAATTATTAGGTTTTACTAGGGAATGATTGTTACTGCCTTAGTCGACACTAAAAATTACTCATAACCTTTTGTGGCAATATTTCAGAATTTTGTGGCGATTATTGTCGCAGCTAAAGGTCTAGTTCTTTTATAGCGAATCCTAGTTGGCAACGCTTAGGTGGGAGGATTAGTCCCGTGGCTTGCCATGTCACTAAAAATTTGGGGTGTTAACTCTTGAGAGTATTTGTGGTAGGATAACGGTAGGGGCATTTTTTATCCCAAAATGTAACGAAGGGTATAAGTGGTCTATTTCGCATAATTCAAGGGTAATTTTGACTCTTTTCCGTAGATAGAAAGATTTGAAAGTTAAAAATTAGAGTAGAAGATTGTCGAGCATTGTCTAATTTTCTTATTAGTATTATTTTATTACTCTCCTGTTATCTTATTCTTATTTTGTTTTAGCATCCTCTTTACTTTATCGTATTAATTATTTCTATTGTTCTCTTCTCTATTCAGTTATAGTAAATTTCAAATCTTCGTCCATCTCTACCTCTTTAAGTAATTTATAATTAATAAAAATAATTCAAATTCTCAAAAGATTTTAAACTTTTTTTTTGGCTGTAATTATATATATATTATATATATTCTGACTTTAGACCACTAAATCACCAACTCTTTCATCAACTCTATTAAAAAATAATAAGACCAGAGAATATAGACTACTACTCCTAGTGATTGATGTTCTTTTTATTGTTTAATATGATTATTTTAAGCAATATTGTTTATTCTATAATATTTGACAAAGTTGATTCTATCGGATGATTAATTCAGATTACCTATCAAGAATAAGAATATCAAATAAAATAATTAATGAATTTATTGGATGTGTTTCCTGTTAATAAATTTAATACAACAAAAATCTGAATTAATCAGATCAATTATACCTAATTTTGTATTTTTTTTAAATTTTTATATGTATTATATAATTAATAAAGATATTTTTTTATTTGTCAACCATCCAAATTATAGTTGTATGGAAAATGACTCAACTCACTATTTTAAAGAGCCAAAATATTTTTGTTTTCAAAATTATTATTTGTCATATATATTAATCTCTGATTATTTTTGGAATTATGTGGTGAAGTCAACAAATTACTACGCGAGTTGCAATTTTTTTTTTAATTATACTAAAAGTATTATAAGTTATAATTTTATACGTATCAATTTCATGTAAAAATACTATATATTAAAAAGCGAAATATAACCAATTGATATGGAACAAAAAGGGTATATTTACAGTAATAGTACAAGTACACTATTTTGGTAAAATTCTCTTCATTTTAAAAAAAATAAATCATTTTATAGCTCACATAATATATATTCTTTTGTTTATAAACAAATGACCTAGTTTGACTTGACATGAAATTTAAGAAAATAAAGAAGGTTTTTTCATTTTTGTAGTCGTAAATTAAAATTATGTCACATGTACCAAAACGTTCTTTAATTTTGTGACTTTAAACATATCAAGTGAAAAATTGAGATTAAAATATTTCCAAAAAAGAAAAAGGCTCGTTTTTTTTTAAAATCAGACTAAAACAAAAAAAAATCATTCCTTTTTAAATGGTGGGCGTATAATATAAGACAAAAAAACAGCCTTACAAATATAGTACTAAAGTTTATTTTGTTTGGTCCGTTGGCTACTTGCACTCAAAATAATAGATCTATTTTAAATGAGGAAAAATAACAACCACTTCTTTTCTACTCCAACAAACCCCCGCTAAGCCTTATGGTGCGTCATTCAAATTTAATCAGAGCTTAATTGCGAACTCTAAAAATTGAATCGAAAACAAAAAGAAGGATATACTTTAAATGTGGAAATGACAACCACTTCTTTTTCCTCTCCAATAATATTGCTTTCTCTGTCTTATATATTATGTGCTACATAGTATAGTATACATTACTCAAAAAAATCAAGAATCAGATTAAAAAAATAATATGGAAAAATCACATGAAAATGAACACCCAATTAAGGCATTTGGATGGGCAGCTAGAGACACTTCTGGGGTACTTTCTCCTCTCAATTTTTCAAGAAGGTACAAATTTTATTAATTTCTTCGATTCGTAAAATTATACTGAATACGTTATTATTGTTGTTGAGGTTTAATTTGGATTTTGAAATGAATGCAGGGGGACAGGTGAAAAAGATGTGCAATTCAAGGTAATGTATTGTGGAATTTGTCATACTGATCTTCATCAAATCAAGAATGAATGGGGCATCACCAAATATCCCATTATACCTGGGCATGTTTACTTATCTTAATTGCCTTTTTAAAATTTAATGTTTTTTATTTGCTATTGTCGAAATTTTTTACTGTGTATAACAAAAAATTGTACCTATTTATGCAAAAAGTGTTGAATCATCAAATTATTAGTTTCATCTTCGAACTATTGACAGTCTTAAAAATATCCTTCTACTTGACTAACTAAACTTAGATACACCCTCGATATACCTACGATCTGCCACATGACATAGCAAGTGGTCTCAAACTCTAGTAGGAGTATGTGACTCCTAATAAAAAGCTGAGAGAGGTGTTGAAAACCCCCTAAACTTGACGAGAATTTAGGAGTGTATTTCACCCATGTTGCAAGATCGGAATGTACATTAAGTTCAGTCAGTCAAGTAAATGAGTTTCTTTAAGGTTGTCAATAGTTCAAAAATGAAACTAATAATTTACACCGAATTTAGAATTGTTTTCAATACTTCTCTCCATATATTTTTATTAGAATTCTTGGCTCCGCCACTTACAAAATATCCATTTTTCCATTAAAATCTGCAAGAATATTCATTACTAGAATTCTGACTGCTTTCAGAGATACTACAAACATATTGATATTTCTGGGGCAAAAAAAATCCTAATCTGAGCTACTTCCAATTTCCTTCTCTTATCTGCTTGGAACTATGGAACTATGTTGGTCAGACTCTTCAAACATACCTTTCGATACGTATTGGATC